GACAATGGCGTTAAATGAAACAGGAACGAAATAAACCGCGAAAAGACAGCCAACCTTGAGGTCAAAAATACTTTCGACAGATCAACAAGGTGTAGGTACCAACCCAAATTTTGGGCGGTCAATTAAAGTTTAAATGAGTTTGGATGACTACCCGGTTGTAAAAGACAACACAGTGAAAAAAGTTGGTAGTGTAATAGCAACTCCCCTCACTAATCAGTCCAGATTTACAAACAGGAGATTTTCATTCAACCTCATAAGTATGTAATAACGTTAATTATTATCTCTAGTTAAACAGCCACAGGTGGTTAACGATCCATTAATTTCCAAACAGCCCAAGGTTCAATATGCTTGGAACTGTGATTTGCAAAGGATTCTATGAATCAATTACAATATTTGTATTATTTCAGTATAAAATTGTTAACACTAATCAAAGTAATCAGTGTATGGAAATGCAATGTAAGTTGCATATGTAATAGTAAATTAAGTAAAGAATATTAAATTATTTTATTGGGATATCTATGTATTTTATTTCTATTTTATGTATATAAATTATTTTATGAAAAATGGAAAAAGGTTCAAATAGTACACCTAATATGACATTAATGTAGTGAAAAGATCAAGTAGCCTAATTCTGCAAAATTAAAGCATGGTATATTTGGCTCAAGTTACTTATGTCAGTTCTCTTATTCAAAGCATTAGGGTGTTTTAATATTGAACACATTTCCAAAAACTGTCTTTTAGCTAGATTGCGTTCAGTGGCAAGGATCTTAACTTCATTGAAATCCACTTCATGTTTTGTATTTATCGCGTGTTGTGCTAGGGCACAAGTGTGTTTCGATAAATTAATGTCACTACGATGTGAAGTGAGACGACCTTTTAATGATCTACCAGTTTGACCAATGTAACATAAATCGCAATTAGCGCATGGAATTTTATGAATTGTGTTCACTTGTCCAAAGTGGACAAGGGTGTTTTAGTTTTAGAGAACAAATTTCTAACAGTTTTGGCATTTTTAACAGCAATTTTAACAGGTATTAAATTGCTGTTAAAAATGCCAAAACTGTTAGAAATTTGTTCTCTAAAACTAAAACACCCTTGTCCACTTTGGAACAAGTGAACACAATTTATTATTATTAATATCACTTATAATGCTACCTAAAGTTAAAATCAAAGCTTAATTTTCATTAAATAGTTGGAAGTTATCTATAATTTTCTTGGTTCTTTCTCACTAATTAGCATTAAATAACATTTAATTTACTTAGACCACATGGTCATTTGCTGTGCTAATTTTATAAGTTCATATATGTTGTTAGTTACTTAACTGTTTATACAAAATCAGCGTATTATGTCCATTTACTTAGTTTCATTCACATTATTGTTAATAACATTGACTGCTACATGTCTTTTTAAGGTAACAATTAACATCGTTTCTATGATTGTGTGGTTCTCATATTGTAAAATTTTTTAGATGAACTGATGATGCTTTCAAAACTCGAAAGCTAAACGTCTTCAAAATAGATAAGTAGCCTATCAACTTTGTCTTTTATTTCTCCACCTAGAGACCGATATAAGAACCCACCACTGGTCTGAGTGATCCTTATATATATATATATATATATATATATATATATATATATATATATATATATATATTATATATATATATATATATATATGTATATATATATATTGGATTGACGGTCGTACTCCTTTTTCCGATATATATATATATATATATTATATATATATATATATATATATATATATATATATATATATATATATATATATATATTATATATATATATCCTTTTACCTCTGTTGCACTTTATCTTCTACTTTTGATATTTAATTTCTATAAAGTTGCTAAGTATTTGTTTCTTCCAGTAAGCTTAAAATATTTAATAGATATGAGATATCTTATAATTTAAAATCCAAAATGAAACTAAAACTTAAGTTAGAACAAGTAGATGGATCATGTTGGTCCATAAATAAGGATATAATAGCTCCATATCTGTACTATCTGTTCTATTTTTCCATTTTTTTACTAACTACTTTAGTTACATCCATGATACTATGACTAACAAGATAGGATCTTCCCGTAGCACAAAATCGGTCGTGTTCGCGCATGCCGTCATTGGAGGGTAGAATTTGAATTCTTGTTAAAGTGAAATGGGATTTGTATGCATTCTGTGATGAAATTAGTAGACAAAAATAAGTTAAGAGGTTTAATAATTACAATAATCGTACACATTAATCAAGATTATTTATTGATTCATGCAAAAAACTAACATTTCGAACGTGCAACTTTCCAATGACGTCACGACTTATGCGCAATATCTAGTCATAGTATCATGGTCAAATCCATAAAAAATTCAAAACCCTAATATTTATTTTGATAGGCTACACATTTGAGAAAGATCCCTTTATAAATTTTCACTAAAAAAACGACATTGGCTTTCAACTACAAATCCTTTCCTACATAGCATTCCAATGCAAACTGAAAATTGTATTCACGTATAGGGTAAAGTGTGCAAATCGCGGTCACCTAAGAAGAAAATTTAATATAAAAAAACTTAAAACTCTGTGAATCAAATTTAAGACGTCATCCGGTCATTTGGGGTTTTAACTTATTGCAAGACACATTCAATTTAAAAAATCAAAAAGTTTGTCTTTGACAGAGACAAAAAATAAAAAAGTATCTTTGACCAGTATTGTCACCATATATGGACAATACTGGTCATGAGTGTGGGTAATGCCAGTCAATTTGTTTGTGTTATTATTAAAATAAAAATCAATAATAATAATGTCAATAACGAATGTGCCTTAATGGGTAATAATTCAATTAAATCAGTAAGAAAGGTGAAAAAATATTTTGTATTACAAAACAAAAAAAAAACAAAAATATGTGTTTTAATGAAAATGGTTGACAGTCATCGCAGGTATAACCCTCTGCAGAATCCATCCAATGCACTCTGAATGGGCCCATCTTGAGCAAAGGGTATATCTAAACCATATTTCATTGATTTTGCCAAACTCGCTGCAAACCAGGCATCTATCTTCGTCTGCATCGTCACTGTCATCACTTGGAATCAATCCGATTTCGAAGAACTAGAATTAAATACCTGTCTCTTGTAATGAGGTTTCTTAGTTTTTACTTGTTTTCCGGTCTTAGTTGTATTCTGTCCTTTCTGAGATTTTTTGGTAGTTAATTTAGTTTTTCTTTTTCTTGAATTTTTTTACCTTTTCCTGTTTTTTCTGTTCCTTTTCTTCTAACTCTTGTTTAAAAGGCGTAGATGTCAGAATTTTAGCATACTCTTTTTTTCTGGTTATACTTTTCTTACAGAGGAATTTGTAATAATGTAAGTTCTTTAAATATGTGAAACTAGTAAAAGGTCCGGAATAGGATCCATTGCTGTTGTTTCAACCTGATTTTTATTTATAGGTGGCAAAGTTTGAGATGGGTTTGTATGGTAAATTTCGGCTGGTATGGCTTCATTGTTATCTTGGACTTCAACAAGCGATTGGTTTTGTAATGTTGTAGCAGCTAAGAAATCTTGATCTGTAAATACTTTGGATTTACATATCATTTCGATATTCAGCTTTAAGAAGCCCATAAAGAACAATATCCAAAGGTTGGATCTTGTGAGATGAATGAGGCGGAATTGAGATAGAATATTATTTGCTTTGCAATATTGATAAACTTTTATTGATATGTGGCTAGAATGGTTATCTGTAATTAAAAGAACTGGTGAGGTTTCACTGGGTTTTGAGTCTTGGTGAAAGTGTTGCAACCATTCATAAAATAAAACTTCATCAATCCAACCATTATTTGAACATTTATATAATGCCTCCGGAGGTCCATCTTTTTCTAAAAGAGGTGTCAGTCGCTTTCGCGGAAAAATAAACATGGGTGGAATGTATCCCCAGCGGCATTCATGGCACACATAACTGTGATGTTTCTACCCCTCTCTCCACTGGTTGCAAAGCCCACCCTTTTCCGGCCTTTGGTAGCTAAAATTTTTCCAGGATCCTGAACTGTACTAATTCGCGTCTCATCGGCATTGTATATTTGTGTTGGATCAAATTGATATTTTGTCATTAAACTTTCTAAAAAAAACATTTATTATTTATTAAAAGCTGTTAATCTGTTTAGACTCGTGCCTTCTGCTTTGCGTATGGATACTGTTGGATTTCTGCGAAGAAAACTTCGTAACCACTCGACACCAGCTAATCCTAAGCAGACGTTAAAATTATGTTTAATACTGTTTCTTTCAGCAAACTCAAATGCTAATTTTCTCAGTTCTTTTGCTGTTACGCCATAAAAAATAGAAGCTAAATATTTTATTTGTGTCGCTATTTCAGCTTCTTGTTCGGTAGAAAATACTGATTTTCTACCTAATGACGCACCTTAAAGATATTTTATTTTTTATTCAAGGGATGGCATATGCTTTTGCTGCTTTTCGCATAGTCATTTCACCATTTCGTTAAGCTAAAATAGCGTTTTCTAAATCCTGTTGATTCCATTTTGCTTTACAAGTCGTTCTTTTTCGATTCCTTGTCATCTGAAATATAAAAATTCCCTAAGGATTAATAGTGCAAACTGTAAATTAATATAAGTCAGCATGGGGGTAATACCGGTCAACTGACCGGCATTGCCTCCTGTTGACATCTTTTTTCTTAGAATTTTTTACTCGTAAACATGTATTAAATTATTGATCTTTAAAAAGAATAGCAGCTAATCATTATAATCATTGTAACCAATTTAAGATCTACAAGTGAATAAAAATAAATTAAGACCTTATATTACTCACCATAAAAATAAGATCGAAAACACTGAAAATAGGTTAATAATATTTCTATGACAATGATAGACACAGACTATGAATTAAAACATATAATATTAAAGATGAATATTAAATTTGTAGAAAATCACAATTCTCAATCTTTATTATCAATCTATAATAATAAGACAAATTAATGAGATTATTTTATTTCAGCTGCTTCATTTGGTGTATGTTCAGAAACCTGTGTAAGTAGAGATTATGGAAATGGAGGTACAGTATGTGTTTGTACCGACAGCAGATGTCATACAATTTCTCCTGTACAGAGATTACCTTCTCACCAATACGTTGTATACACATCAAATAAACAAGGAGAGCGATTAACTAAGAGCGTAAAAACATTAAGCAATTCTCCACCTAAAGAATGCCAAATACCTTATTCTGATCGAATTTGTGAAAATAATGACTGTTCCGGTATCAAAATATGTGGGGAGAGAGACTTAAATCCCTGGGTAGTCTACAAAGAAGGACGACCTTATTTTCCTTCTGCTTTAGATACTATTAATCCCAACGTTTATATTGACACACATATCCAGTTCCAAAAAATCATTGGTTTTGGTGGAGCCTTTACTGATTCTACAGGACTTAATATTAAGGATATGAGTTCACTACTCCAAAATCATTTAATGAGGTAAACTTTGCTGTTGTTTGTGATATGGCCGTATTACTCGAAATTTTTAATATTTTATTATTAATTGGGCGGTCCAATAAGTACTTGGTCTATAAAAAAAAACGAAAATTTTGTAAAAGCGGATATTGATTTCTCAACATAGTCTCCTTTTAGCTTGATACACTTTACCAGCGATGCTCCAACTTCTTTAACCTGTCTGACAAATATGTTTCTGCTTGGAAAGTGCCCTTTCGTCGGCTTAGTGACACAAAAAGTATCTCAAAAATGACTACTTTTCAGGAGAGCTTATTTAAGGGTTTTAAAACAATGATTTGCATTTTGTAATGACTTGTAGTTTATCCTCAACTTTTTTGTTCCGAATTATTAATGTTATAAATGTTGTCATTACGGTAATACAATCATACACAACAATGGCTTAATTGTGTTCTCAAAATATCAACAATTAAATAAAGTAGCGGAGATACATTTTTGTGTCACTAACTGAAAAGTCTATTGAGACTTACGTAGGTACCATTTAATTTTAGAAAAGCTTAATCTTAATCCTATTACAGTCATTTGTATTGGAGTAATAGGGATAAGTTTCGAGAGATAAACATACTGAGTGGCAGGTATAATAATTAAAAGTACAATAGATTAAAATTTATTATTCTCTACCTGGTCCGAAAACTTAACCACGCCATTTAAATAAAAATGATTTTATAATAGGATTAAGACTAAGCTTTTCTAAAATGAAATGGTACCTACTTGTAATAATTCTTTGTTGTTAGAGCATCATAATCTAATTTCACTACTGAGGGTTACCCAATTTATTAATAATAATAATAAAACTAATAATCGTAATTCATTTTATAAGTTTTTATTGTTCTGACGATATTTTCTTGTGGCATTAAATACTATTTAAAAGTCTTGATGGAAATAACCACAATATTATTTATTAAAAAAAGAACCTTTATAAAATGTTTAGACAATGATTTCTGAATTTAGAAGTCGAAACGTCAATAATTTTTTTTTAATAAATAGATTGTGGTTATTCCCATCGAGATGTTTATAACATTATTTAAAGTCATAAAATATTTTTTTAATTAAACATAAACTTTAAAAGCCTTATCAAACAATAATTTTAATCATGTTAATCTGATTGATTGTCCATATTGTTGGTGAGCAACGACTTAAAGAAGAGATGGTACTAGGAAGGAATAATGCCTTTATTACACAGCTCTTCTAAATCCTTATATTTTTCCTCTTTTATTGGCCTTGCTCCTTCATATTCCGTTGTTAAATTTGACATGGAAAATTTCCTAGTTTCTTTTCGGTTAACCTCAAAAGACCCGAAATTTTCATTTTCCTATTATATTTAAAAAATATATGTTTATTATTGTCTTTTCTGTACTGCAGCCATGTTAATTTTAGCCAATTTATGCTACTACCATCGATGTTTACTTTTTTGTTTTTTATTAAAATTGTGGCAAAAGCTTTGAAATCATAAATTTCTTCCTGTCCAATCTCATGTACAGTGTATTTTGATTTCTTTGACGCCGTTCTTACAATGGTGTACCACCCAGTGGGATCAAATATGTTCACATTTTTTGATGCTTTCTCAATATGACCATGGACCAAGTCACATTCCATCATCGAATGGCCAGGTTTAAAAAAGCAATGGTCAATTTTTGGAATATCTAATGTCTGAACAGCGTTAAAGCAACATAGCAGATACATTTACGTTGCGGTTTTGGCCACCACACGTGTCACTCATTAAAACAAACTCTTTACCATCGCAATTGTCCTGCAGATATTTATAGAGACAAGAGGACACTTCATTCGAACCTCTGCCAGCCACTCCTTTATGCCACATATAATAAGTAGCATTTCTGGTCCTGACATCGTAAACAGTAAGATTATATACGGCCAGTCGTCTTTTGTAAAATATTGCTTTAGCATTTGTGGAAGGGCAGTACCTTACAGCCTCTAGATCAAATTGAATGAAATTTATTTTATTTTCCAAAGCATCCGCCTTGGCTTTGTCGTGAAATTCCCTATGCGAGGTACTATCTGAATATGTCACTTGTGATGAAAGCACTAAATTATGACTATGCATTTCATCATCTCGTACCGATTTGTTAAGAGCTAACAAAACTAACTTCTTCCCTCTTGAATTCATTATTGTGTAATAATAAAATTATAAAACAGTATTATAACGAATATTATAACAATATCTACAACAATTCACTTAAAACTGATTTACGTGTTTACGTCTTCACAGTTGTAACAGAACTGGAAAGGCAACGGACCACCCTGATAAATATAATAAACAAATTATCAACTGATTCACGTGTTTCACAGCTGTAACAAAACTGAAAATACAACAGACCACCCTGCTAAACATAATAAACAAATTATCAAATCCACAGATACTACCTGCAACCACTATTCAGTGCAATAACATTTATGCCACAAAAAGGTAACTCAATATCAGCTTATTTATAGTACGAAAACGTAGTATCACAGAAATGTAACAGCACTTATGCAGGCCATTCACGTTCCGACTTGTGGTACCACTTATTAGGACTACTAGTTGGATGTTCGTCTCCACTCACGCTCCGACTTTCTATCCAACTAGCGGTCTAACTTCAGTTCTAGTTTGTTTTCACGATGGTGTACATCGCTTAATCAAAAAATGTATCGAATAAACACTACGCAAAATATAATAATATGATATGTATGTTTAAAAATTAGTTTCCGTTTCTCTAGTTATTTGTCTAGGGCTGAACTAATTAATTTTGCAACTCTTGATTTTTATGACTTTTTAAGATGTAGGAAAAAATTATAGTTTTTAAAGATTTGTATAGGTATAAAATCTATATTTTATTTGTTTTAAACTGGAGCTGGGATTTATTTTGTTGTGTGTGTGTCGTATATTTTTAATAGGAAAAATTTTTCGTGCAATTGAAAGTTATTTTCTATTATTTTTTTGCAAACTAGGGATCTTTTGCTACAACTATGATTTAATTTTCATTGTTTGTTGATAATTCTTCCGTAGTCAATCCGGAGTATCGGAAATTTACCTGTATAGGAATGTCCGAAATAGATCTACAGAAAGGAAAATGATTTGCCCTAACAAAAAGGTAATTTTCGTGCAATTGAAAGTTTATTTTCTATTAAATATTCGCGAACTAGAGATCTTTGCGTAAAGTATTTCATAGAAATCACATACGTAACAGGTGCCGAAAGTCAACTGACTGAGGAAATTTTCGATCCAACCTGTGATCCGACTTCCAACTTCACCATTCACGCTCCGACTTCGTCGCCAGTCGGAAGTCGGATCTTCAAGTCGTCCCACTAGTCGTACCACTAGTTGTCCAACTAATCCAACTAGCCCACTCACGGTCCGATTTCAGATCCAACTGCAGAAGTTGGACCACTAGTCGTACCACAAGTCGGAACGTGAATGGCCTGCATTACATTTCTGTGACACTAAAAGATTGTTAAAAAATGTAGTTACGAAAACTCCTTATTGGGGTTTTGAGTGCTCGGAGAGATACAATATTTTGTCGGTCAATAGAACTCACTAAGGTAAGTTCAATGGTGTAAATATGTCAAAACGTGAAAAAATGTAGTTACATTTTTGTGTCACTAAGCCGACGCTTTTTAAGTTTAAAAACAAAAATAAGTGGCATGGGGTCAAGTCTGAAGAATACGGTGGACGGGGCAACAGTTTGTAGCTCAATTCGGCCAATTTCGCTATGTCAAAGGCGGAGGTATAACCCGGTGAGTTATCATAGTGGAAGAAAACTTTTTTTTAGGCTAATGGGGTCGTTTGTTCTACAATTTGGCGTAGAATCGACGTAATATTTTGACGCATTAGGGCCCTGTGACCGTTTTACTTTTCTTCAGGCAGTCGATGTAGATCACTCCTTGTTAATACCACAAAATAGTGTTCATCACCTTTTCGACCCATAAGGACAGTCTTCACTCCTTTGGAACATGTTTACCGAGTGCCATCCACTGCTTCAACTGTTGAGTGGTCTATGGTATGTACCAGTAGATCCATGTTTCGTCGACCATGGTAACTACTTCCAATTACTCTTGAAAACAGTCAAATGCTGTTCTAAACTAGTCTTACGGTTGTGCTTGTTGTCCGGTGTGCGTAAATGCGGCACCTATCACGCAAACAGCTTTCTCATGCCCAAAATATTATTCAGGATATTGTTACCAATTAAAAATTGTTTCTAATAAAAAATGGAGAGAGCTCATAAATAAATAAATAAATAAAATAAATTGTTGCTAATGAAAAAAAAAGGAAAGGCTGAAATGGTGAAGCCAATATTAGAAATTATATAAGATGTATGGTTAAATAGAATTTAAAATTAATTAATAATGATTTAAATGAAAAAGTTAAATAACCGGGAATGTAACCAATTTTAAAAGAAAATATAATTTACTGGAAGCACTAAAATAGAATAAGATTAGCTCAAGCGAATGAGAGTTCTCAGAGAGGAGGTTGGCACGTTTGCTTGCCTGTAGTAACTTAAAGTTAGAGCAGATCAATCCTAAGATGATCTTGGAATGGGCGCCAGGGTGAATTTAGAATTTCACTCCAATTTGGGATATATGTAGTTATATACTAACTGAAAATAAAATATTATAGGAAACAAATGAAAATCTGAAATGCTTTATACACTATATATTACAATCCTACTATGCTATCCCAACCCTATATTTATATACACCAACTAATTATTAAAATATATCCCCAAAAATATATATTTACAAAAGATAACAGTTATTAAAAAAAATGACCCAAAATATAAATATATACAAAAGTTGATCTACACAGTCCTCTAACAATGAGGTAAAAGAGTATGTTAATGCTTGAACAACTCACTTGGAGTAAAGAGTAATTAAATATTACAAAAAAATAGAATAATTATGTCATTTAAAAAAGGGTAGTTTAAAAAAATGATACTAGTCAGTTAAGAAACTAGAGCAATACATACATCAAT